GTGGGCGTGGACGGGGTGCGGGCTTTCCTGCAGACCTATTCCCACGAGGTGTCGCTCACCGCGGACTCGCGGAAGAGTCACGTGATCTTCCCTCAGCCCAACTATGCGGACACGCTCATCAGCCAGGAGAGCTATGAGAAAAAGGATCCTTTGTTAACATCCGTAGATTTTCAGGAATATAAGGATGGAACCCAAAATATTCAGGTGAGTTCAAGCATTCATTTATCTTTACATCCTCAAAGAATTATATTTTGTGCAAATGTCTTTGTTTTGCGAAATAAGTGATTTGAAAATGGGGTAAAAAAAACCTATCGCGTGGTAAGGCAAGATTAATGGTTTATTTCAGCAGTGATTCTTTAACATGGAACACTTACTGACATAGGTTTTGGTATCATATTCATTCATAGTGAAAGTGTATGGACAAGATCATGAATAGCGGATTATCCCATTTTTATACCTTCTACTTATGTTCCACACAGTGTTCTTAATTCATATATTTTATAAATGAGAATGAATTATTATGTGTTTTTCACTGCACAAGGTGAGCAAGAGGTGGCCTTCTCAGGATTCTCTTTAGATCAGATCTATAGAAGGTTCTTTAAGTTGTTTTTTTTTCCTGTGCCCCTGCTTCTGATTCCATGTATGTCCACTTGGTGGCCTTGAAATTCTCAGTGGCTCTTGACCTATTTAAACCAAAATAACCTATTAACATCAGTTTCTGGTAGAAGATTAGATTGATGCCTAAAGAATGAAATGTGTCTGTGTGTAGCTTCACTAAGATCTTTATCAATGACAGACATGGAGTCTAATGCTGCACTAAAGGTCATTGTCCAAAACCAATAAAATATGACATCAAATAAAATGTCATTTCTAGTGTTATAACTAACATTTATGAAATAGGCCATTGCATGTTTTTACCCCAAATTCCAATGTGCTGTTTTAGTGGGGCAGTCATATGAAGTGTGTATATTGGCTCTCCAAGTGTGATTTGGGATGCTGGCTTTGTGAAATAGGTATCTCATACACTACTAATAGTGAAATTTACTTATTGGAGTTGCTGAATAATTCAGTTAGAAATAATCCAATCAGGAGTTAACTACTTGTATACTTGTTGTATAACATTTTGAGTAAAACTTGATACATCAGTTGATTAGTATCACGAAGTAGTTGATCACAAGGTAACCTTGTTTACTGGGATCTTTTAAGTATTAATTAAAAGCATACTTTTCTAGCATCGTATTGTGTTAGGTGGCATTTTGCATATAAAGGTCTGTGCAATCATGTTGGGGTACATGTCATACCTTCTGCAGTGTTCAGATGTATAATACTTGGGGAGAGGACAGTGTTACTTACACTTTGTGAGGCAGAAATGTGGCTATCAGTTATTTTGAAAAAGAACCCCCTAACCAAATTTATTAAGTGCTTAAAAATATTTTTAAACAAAGGGAATACATCACTAAGCTCAGTGAACTATTGCAAATAAACTTTCTAGGGGCTATGTCCTTCAACTGAGGTCATTATGGGATGTGGTAAGTACAGAAGTGGGAACAAATGCCTCAGTGCAGTAGACCATGGTTAGTGACTTTGTATTGCAAGGCAAAATATTATCCCCCTGGTAGTCTTGAAGATTCATGTTATACTTCTTACCTGGGAAAATAATTATGTGGTGGGAAGGAGAAGGATAGCTTCTTTTCTAAAAGGCTGCATCATTTCCTTAAGTGAGATCATGGAAATGAAAATCAACTAATGTTACTATAAAGAAATCAAGAAAATTATTTTGGAAGAAGAGAAGTGTTTGGAGGTAAGTATAAATTGTGCCCTTTTAAAAGGTATAATTTCAGCATTCCTGATGCTCTCTGAAAAACTGAAATGAATTAGCATGGAAGGGCAGAAAAGTAAAGAAAAATAAGGGAAAAGGGACAAGGAAAGATGGATAAAATTTTATCCATTATATTCCTTAGATCATTTAGGCTAAGTCTCTGTTATAGTTAACATTCCATTACGGTCCCGATTTTAAGATTGGGGAATAATTATGTCAAGATATAGATGTTTATATATTAAGTCTACCTGATTTACCGAAAAACCTGGGAAGTTGGCGTAATGACTTTTCTAATAATACAAATTAAATATTATTAATTATACAGACATCTAAAAAAGTTTGTTCAGCGGGCATGCGATAATAATTAT